AATTATATTTTAATAATTCAAAGAATATTTTCATAAATTTATTATTAAGGACTTTTTAATTTTGTAAACATCAACAATTATTACGAATAACGACCGTAAATTATTTAAAATATATAGGTACCTATCATTAAGTTACAACTAATAACTAATTGAAATATGATGCCACAAAATTCAATTATTCTATTAAAACAAAATAAAGTTTTAATAAACAAGTACAAATTAATAGTAGAGATACTTAGATTTCAGTTATGTGGTTTTATTGTGTTTAATACGAATACTGAAATACAATAAAATTTAATAGTTTTATACACAGCACCTAGTTACAAGTGTAATTTTACAGTGTTATTGTAAAACAAATAGAAACATTAAAAACATTTTATATCTGTTAAAGTATTTTAAGTTTAAGTACGAATAATGTACAACAGAATGTAAATCTAAAGAATAGAAATATTTTTGGAAGATTTAAAAATGATTAGGATTTTTTGAATTTCCAGCGGGGACGCGTCGTAGAAAACCTTAAGTCGCAAATACCACTTAATTACGAATGATTTATTATATACACTTAAAACGTAAAAATTCTTTTATTTTTAAACGAAAGCGAATTCCACTGTGTTACACAATAGAGCGTTTTATTATGTCGATAAAAGGAATTGTAAAGACTCAACATGATAATAATGTATACCAGTGAAAATCAATTTAGGGCTTAAAAGTCGTTGCGTTTGCATGTTTTTTGTAGACTATTGGATTTATTGCTGAATAAGCTTAAAATGTATTTTAAAACACTATGAAAATATTTTTAAAGTCTATATTGCATATTATGTATTTTTAAGTCATCTTACAGTCACATTTCTTATTTTTTTTAATTTTAAAATTTTTAATTTTTATACACAAAGAGCATATTTGATGAATAATTTTAACTGAAATTTGTGTATTTTCGTTTTATCAAAATACAATAAATTGTATTCTAAAAATACTTTTCAATGGCTATAGCTGATAAAAGACAGCACTTAATGGAAGGCTTTTTTATTATTAGTTTCAATAATATTTCAAATATACGTTTGTTAGTTGATGTGTGAAACCATGAAATTGAATTTAAATTATTTTTAATCGAGTATACATATAATAGTGTTTTTAATTTTAATTTTCTATGAAAATACATAATTGAAAAAGGAAAATTAATAATTATTATAATTAGAATATTTTTATTCTAGGAACATTTTTAAAGCTATTAGTGAACTTCTAATAAAAACTTCTATCACAAACTATTGCTTATTAGAGGGTTGCAAATATTACAAACTCTTACTTGATTTTTTTATTTTATTGTATTTTATCTATACCTATATTATAAACTATATTAACTTTGTTCAACACAGAATATTATTTGGAAATAAATCTATTGTTATTGATTTTATTATTTATGTACTTTTAGAATGTAACACTATAAAGCCACATCGAATTAATCAAAATAATAATAATAAAAAAAAAAATTAAAAAAAATAAATAAATATCCCAGGGCTTTACTGTTGATCATTACTGTCACATCATGATTAACTCGGCTGTATACGGTGTTGCAATAGACACAAGTCACAACTACATATAACTACAGATACTATATATGTACGCTACAATAACACTCGTGCATAGGAACACGTCTTATTTCGATCGCGTCGAGTGGGTATAATTTACTTTGCTGTTTATTTTCTTTTCATTTTTATAATCGGTGAAAATGTCAACTGTGACATCTGTTGCAGCTACCGTACATTATGGGTATACCGAAAGTATCGTGTAAATAAATAAAAAAAACTACTATAATACTATACTAGCGTAGACAGTAGTTATACGCTGTGTACACTGTCTACCGATGACATTTGAAGAGTCGCGACAAACATAATACTATATACGCGCGTAATGTATACGTATAGTATATAATATATATATAATAATAATAATAATAATAATAATAAACCGTTGTTATACAACAACAATTTCTCGCGAGAACATATTATAACGAAATAATAATATCAACACAGACACACAAGCACAAACGCACATTACACGCGTGTGTGTATTATACGTTTTCTAAACGCGGTTATTATAACGTGATAAAAAAACAAAAAAAAAAAAACGAAAATGTTTATGTAAAATGAATGTAAATTTTATTAGGACAGGTGTCCTCATTAGCATGAACCTAGACCCGGAGGGAGTTATTGCGGCGGCGGGTAGTACTTACGACGGTATATGCACATGCACACACACAGGCACATAAATACATACATATTACACATAAATATTACATGTACACTAGGAGTCATTTTTTTTTTTCCTCATCCGACCCGAAACGGCTTCCGTGGCTTCGTATGTATGCGTACATCACCTCTTATCGGCGCGGCGGATCTCTGACCGAATACCATCCCTGGCCGGCCGGCAGCCCTTGGGCAATCTCGGCCGTCCGTCGTATTAACGCTCTAATTGCCGGTTATATTATATAGACGCGCACCCGACGCCGCAGCCCCCCTCCGGAGCCCCCGGCCGGACGCCTATTCTCACTCGCGCGCTTCGCGGAACAAATTTCGAGGGGAAAATAAGAAAAAAATATATATATATATATAATACGTACTACATACAGGTATACCGTACACAGTATGTATGTGTCTTAATAGTTCTCCCGCGGACACTATCGAACGGTTCGATCGCGGAGAATATTTTATAATTTTATATAATATATAATATATACCTTGGTATATTATATACGTACCTACAATAAAAAAAGCACGCTACAATGGTTTATACGAGCGCGTTTTTTCGTATATATATATATATATATAATAAAATATAATATTGGTGCAGTTTATAAGCGCGTTACTGCAGGTATAGGGTATTATCCGTTCCTATGGGTGTATATATTATAGCAGATATAGATACGCCGGTCATCGCGTATTATGTGCTCCGAATTAATGGCCACCCGGGGCCGGATAACGTTCTAAATATGTACGTCCATACATATATTGTGCATAAGAATTAATATTTTTAAATATCAAAAAACGATAGAGATTCCGAGAGATTAGAAAACCCACCTGAAATCATATCTACACGATCGAAAAACGGCGATCATCGGCGAACACTTTATAATACGCGGGTGTACTGCTACATTATAATACACGTATAATAATATGTATTATACACTATAATAGGTATATAGTTTTTATTACTACATAATAATAATAATATTAGAAAACATGTCCCTACTACTGGTTATAAACTGGACTTAAATCTGGACGTTAGCGATATTGTCAACACGGACAGGATTCAGTTTACTCCTATTACTAGACCGCGTACCTATCTATAATGTTTACATTATGTCAAGTACAAACAAAATATGTTAAGTATACGGTATAATATACACCGCGTGAACGATAAGAGTTATCTTCGTAATTTACAAAAGTATGAATAGATATCGTACGCGCAGTGTCAATCATTGAGTGTATCATAGTGCATACCCATCCCTTACAATATAATCAGCTCGAATATAATGATTAACGACTAACGAGTAATTATGGACTTTAAATTAAAACAATTTTAGGTATAAATTTCATAAAAGAAATCACAGATTTTTTGATTTTTTATTATTATTAAAATGAATATTTACAATCTACGCTACAATGCATAATAAACAAATCAGGAAATAAAATTAAGAAAATACACAACAATGATTACATAAGGGAGGAGGACCGTCCAGCGATACACCTAACATTATAGTTTGTATCACGAATTTAAAAGAAACACGAAAACAAAATTAATATCATTCAATTATTTAGAGACAAAGTCAATTATAAAATACTAATTGGAACTTTTATATTAGGTATCTATACATTTATAATTTTCGTAAATCATGTCATATTTAAAAAAAAAAATTATATATTAAAAAACGGGTAAGACAATTATTGCGGTGAGATACTATAAAAATATACAATATATATACAAGTTTAATCTACCCTGGAGTAATGCGATTTAACCAAAACTCTTGCGAACAACAAAATATATTTGTCGGATATACAATATAGGAAGTGGAAACCGCTCAACAGCTCAAGTACGGTTTGTATTTTAAAGGATTAGGATCCAACTACCGTATAATCATACGACAAATTAAGGGATAGTATTTACATACGCAAAATATATACTTATACAGTTTTTGAAGCTTTTTAAAAATCGAATTATTAAAATATACACACGCGTTATGCGTAAATGTACATTTGCAGTTGTTAATATTCCGTTCGACATAATAATATAATGTATGTACCTATATTAATTTTATCATCTCTTTACAACGAATGTGTTTACAAGTACACTTTTAATCAAGAGTTAAACCTACTAAACCGGAACGTTGTTCAGTTCATGTTTCCACTCTGATCGTTTTGTTTTATTATTTATGAAATCGATCAGTTTTTTTTTCACTATATTGCATAGTGGACGACGGTTGAAAAAAAAAAAATGATGAAAACGATATTTTAACACGTCAACAGATACGATTGAAGAAAAAAAACCTAACCGTACAAGTACGTAGTTATTTAGATACGCATATAATTCTGTACATTATGTTAATGCGGACAAGAGAAAAAACGCGTTTTGGTTAATGTTGTATAATTATAGAAAAACTACTGAGAGTATCAATCATTAGATAAGTGCATTCAAAATTGTCAAAAAAATAAATAATACCGTCTCCGCAATTAACGCTTTATAATTCTTAACATCAAACTTTAAAACGTCAACAGGAACACAATGGTATATTATTACTGTATTATACCGTAGTGAAGTTGAGAAATTCAAACGTGTTTCAAATATGCTTCTAAGCAACACATTGATAAAAAATTCCAATGTATTGATATAAATTAATTATATTCCTGATTTACATAATACATAGGTTTAGTTAATAGTTCGGTTACTTACCACTATTATTCTATTATTAATTATTATAATAGATACTAAATATAACCAATACTTACGCTCTGTTGTAGTATCCGGAAAAAGGCCAAGTCAGACAACAGGTGATGAAAAATGCGAAAACAACAATAATTAATATATACAGTTTCAAATAAGAAATAGGTCGTATAAAAAGTGTTTACTTACAGTGATAGGGTCCTGAGTTTGAGAATAACATAATTCGACCGGAAACAAAAAAAAAAAAACATACTGAATTATTATACAATTTAATTAAATTAACTCTTTATGTGATACTTATATGTATAATGTATGGATATAAAGCTTTATAATTGTATGTCTATAAATATAATAACGTAATAAAAAACTGCTATGATTAACTGAAATTTAAACTTGATTAAAGAATTATATTTTTTAACATTTTGAAGTATATAAATACACTTTATAATACATAAATATATTTATAAACATAAGATATCGAAGAAGAAAAATATTTAAAAATTAAAATAAAGAAAACTTATAATCTTCCCAAGTGTTTGATAACAATTTATTAGCCGTCAAGAGGAACAGCTTTTTTATAATATATATATAAAAAGGTTTAAGACTAAATTGAATGCATCAATATTCGCCCACACTTGACGGTTACCATAAATATTATATATATTCATGAAGTTATTAATATAAGTCATAAATAATAATTAGATGTCCAAAATACACGAATTAAAATGTTTAAATAACACTAAATAAATTTAAATACCAATAGGTACGACACATTATATGTACTATAAATAATGTTTGTTATTTATCTTATGAACATGATTTTTATTTCACGCAATAAAAACGTAAAATATTCTGTTAATTATCGAGTTATTAATAACATAATAACTATAAAAATATATTTTAAAGTTTAACGTTGATTTTAATTTATTTACGACGAGTTGCGTATGAAAAACTTTTCATAATAATATGAAACAAATAAACATATTTTTTTCAAAATTAATGTTCTTACATTTAAAATATTTACTTATAGCAAAAATATAAATACAAAAAAAAAAAAAAAATAATGTAAGATTCGCAAATTGTCTTAAGAAATTGAATGTAAATCATAGGTATGTAATTAATTTTATATATACTTTTAAAATATTTATTTATAATAATATATATGATATACGCTTTATATTTATTGCTTATAATTACGCTTTAAAGTGCATTTTTTGCCAATTATATAGCTTAATTAATGTTAAAACGAATCATTAACATTATTATGGTCATAATTAAGTTAATAAAACAATGTACCTATACATATACATGCTTAAAATGAATACTTAATAATAATGAAAAAAAATAATTCATTTTAAAATTATTTTTTAATTTAACTGCAACAAATATATATTAATGCTACTCGTATAATATTATGTAAACAAATATTAAACGTAAATAAAACAATTCATTATTGTACTGTTAATCAAACGATTTCATCAGTTAGAATTGCTATAATTACTCAAACGATTTTTTTTAAAGGATCGAAAATAACTACAAATTATACAAGTCAAACAAGTTTGGATTTCCACTCAGATAAAGTGGATATATACGTTATATGTTACTAATGTTCCGGCGTCTGTTAAAGTATTAGAAACAACAGTCAAATAAACTTTTATATTCACAATTTTGGTTAGTATACATTTATTCGTCAATAGATAAGTATACACAAATATTGTACACAATATTACAATAACGTTTAAATCTAATAACTAAATTTAAATTTTTTTTAAAAAATTGTTAGTCAGTTTAATTTTTGATTCTTAGCAAGTTAATTATATAAGTATACATAATAATATGAAGTATTTAAAAAAAAAAAAAATAATAGATATCTCAAAAATGTTGTTTACTTAATTTTAAGAAAATTTACTAATAATTTAAAGGGAGAACGATTAAATTGACTACATGGCGTTTTTGATAGTTTATTATTTGTTGTATTCAAAGTCATTAAAGATAGCTACTAATTAAATTTTTTTAAATAGTTGTGAAACGTTTTCATTAAAAAAAATTACCATTTTTTAACTTCATTGGAACTTGACAACATATGTCAATTGTAATAATAATTTCAAACGTGTTTCTTAATTCAAAATACGTTTTATTACTATAAATATTATATAAAATTAAAGATTTACATATTATTCGTAGGTAATGTAAGTATAGGCTTTTAAATTTAGGAGGCTCTAGTATTAATTTACATTATTTTTTCATACTTTGTTCGTGAGTTATGGATTTTTTTTAAAATTTAAATACCTTAAAACATCTATTTTTGTATATTATATTAAAATCTTTATTTATTTTTATTATTATAAGTACAGTTAAAAATAAACTGAGTTTTATTTAGAATAACTTTTTATTGAAAAATGGTTCATAAATAATAATAGATATTTAATAAGTACTCTAGTGTCCCTTCGTACACAATACACAGTCTAAACTCAATATCTCATAATGTATTTAACATAATTTTAATCGTTTAAGTCGTTTTACTATTTATATAGGTACAAACTATTGTAAACTATATTAGTTTTTTAATTGTGAAATTTTTATTACAGATTTTAGTTGTTTGGATTTTACGGTCTACTTCACTAGAAAAAATCCAATTATAATATGTATACATCGTATATAAACATATAACAAATATAAGTATCATTAGTATAGCATTATCCTGTACTAGATGATTCATTTATCGAACAACATTCATTATTCCAAGATCTTTTAGTTTTTGAAAAACATTTTTTTATTAATTCCTAGTCAAAATAAAATTATTTATTTAAAACAAAAAAAACCTCAGATTTTATAAATAATAAGTGTACATATAATACCTAACCTATACAGTACCGAGTGCTTAAAATACTTAAAATTATTAAGTGAAATATATTTATAAATTCTAGACATTAAATTTTTTTCTTGTTTAATCAAAGTCGTGCGAGGTTTATTAATAATAATATTCAATAAATGGAATTTAAATCGCATATTATTTCTACAATATTTTCATTAACTATAATTAAAAAAAAAAAACATGTGCACATTTAGTTTTCGGTTAATTATTTGCTTTAGGTATAATTATTTTTTTCTTACTTCCAATTAACTAGGTCCTAATCAACTCGCCAAAAAACATTTTAAAATACAAATAGGAGTGAATAACATCATACAATTATCTCGTTGTATAAGAATTAAGACTATAAATATAGCATATAACATCTGCAGTGACGACAGTTAAACACAATATTAAATGAAAGGTACAATAATATTATTATGTATATTTCCCACATATTTATAAACGAGTACTCGTGGTAAATCTCATCTATTGAGTTTGCAAGATTTGGGGTCATCTGGGCTAACTATTATGTAGGTATGTCATAATATTATCAAACGCGTCGAATCGTCTTCTTATAGGTAGGTACATCGCCGTGATTCACGTTATCGAACTATAATATTATACGTAATAATATGATTTCGACTCGAACAGCCATTAAAAAAAGTTTCGCGCTAGCCACGGTTTCACGAGTATTAATATCGTTATTACTTTAACCTACCTACATTATTATGGGCTATATAGAACCGACAAACTCTCTTGCCGTTGACGATCATCGCATCAACGTGTCAATTTACACGATTTTCTCACGGTTCGTCGGGTAAAATCCAACGGTATCCTTAATAATAATAATAAATACATCTGGTGGACGTAGCGTATTAATACGTCGGCGGGATAAGTACGGAGTCATTACACACCGGAGACTCGGGTGAGCCGCGAGAGAACGCGCACGCGCGCACGAGAAGAGGAGAAGGCTACCGGTCGTGGCCATCATTGGCGCGCGCGCGAGCTCCCGAATATTATGAGATTTGATAAAGACGCTCGGGCTCGGGGCAGATACGTATTTTTGGGCAGCATCACCAACAGCACCGGCAGCAGTGATTAATAGGGACCAACCCAGAGCATTGTAATTTTTGTCGGTATAGGTCTATTATGAGGTGTACAGCGGCAGTACATACATAATGTACACGCCGACTGACACTATTTATTTGCTTGTGTGCGAGGCTACCGCGGAGGAACAACAGCTAGCACAGGTATATACGAAGAAAATATATGAAAATACAAATCGCCTGCGCTCAATTACACAGTGTACATACTATACGCTATATTCCCAAGTGAGCCCATTATCTAGTCACCGTCCTAAGTGGATATTAATAACACCTCTCGTAAACGCATCAGTGGCGGGTGCTCTTCGCATTTGCGTCTCGAATGCCTCTACACATAATACGTATACACGATCACGTTATTATTATCATCATCACTGTTATTATTTTATTGTGTACTATTACAATTATTATTACTGTTATTACTATATTATTGCAGCTCGCGAGAACACGTGTATACACAGAGATTATGTGCGCGTACCTGTGTATAGTGTGTACGTCCATCCTCTCATTGTCGTCGTTCTGTAACGACGCGGACAGCGAAAGCTGCAATAATATTTGCTGCTGATATGTTTGTGATCTCTACCGTACGCGCACCTACATAACACTACGATATTATATGAGCGACGCAATTTAATAAATTTTGTATTCCTACGTATTACTCGTACCACGATATACTGTGTCAGGACTTAAAGTCTCCACCAACGCAATTAGGTCAACGCCGCTGACGTAACCGAGTCTACGGTATAATAATATAGTGTATTTTCCCACTCGAATAAACATGGTAGGTAATATATGCAATAAGCTGCAAACTATGATTTTTTTTTTTTTTTTAATTTTGGTAAGAAATTAAAACGAAATTATTTCATAACAACTTCTAGTTATTTCTCAAGTATGATAAATGAAATTAAAACAAAAACAAATTTCAGTAAATTATAGTCTTCGACCAACTCTTAAGACAGATCAACAAAAACAATACGGAAATTAAATTATTGTACAAGTTATAACTTAAAATTACATCGTCATGAAAAAAAAAAAATGGTACGTCTAACTATTGATTATGCGTATTTAATAGTATTATTATAAGTAATTTATTATGTGTTATAGAATAAGAAATGTTGACAGTTAAAAAAATTTAATTAAATACAGAAAAATTACTTATTTTTAAGATACTGTTAAACCATTATTTTTTTTTGATAAAGGAAAAAATATGAACGTTGGCCTTTTTTATCTTTTGTTTGAAACGA